AAAACGCCGAGACGACAGAAATGACTATTACATCCACAACGTTTTGCAGTTTTCACACGGCTGGTCCAGTAGAATTGCATTATTTACTGGTCAACAAGCGTTACGAGGCCATCCCGCACTCTAAGACACAAAATAAGCATCAGTAATTGCTATCCAAAAAGTGAATAATCGCAAAAGGGCAAGAAACAGAATTTAATTCGTACATTATAGCCTTACGTCACTGTCAAATGGCGAAATGACTTGCGTAATAGTGCTGGCGAAAAACAAGAGACGTTAACTTTGAATTGATACGAAGAACAAAGACCCAAGTGGAAGGCAGTAGATAAAATACAATCACTGTAAGCACGCGAATGAAGCAGAAGGAAGGTGCGATTAATCCGGCCTCTGTAAGATGGCCCCCGCAACGGACATGCCTACTGAACTATTATTATTACTTGAAGAATATATCCATAATGGTCGACCAAACAATGATTTCGTTAAAATCTAATATCATGACAGTTTTCAATGAGAATAATGCGATTTTCTGTAAATTCTGAATTCAGGTTATCTTTATTCTCTTTAAATACAAGTGATTGGGTATTCTCGTCAAAAAACAATGGCGCTTCTCTGGAGATCGAATGCCAAGTTATTCATTCGTCATTCCTAATTTATTTAATGCGTAATAATTTTTTATTGTGTTAATGTGCTGCAAGTGCGACGTTACTCTCAAGGGAAAGAAAAACTTGGTTAGTCATTTGTACATTTTCATGATGATCTCGTACAATAGTTACTTAATAATTAAAAAATTTTCCTTGGGCCAAAGTGTTAGTACACTAAAAAAATGTATGGGTCATATGGACCAAATATTGAAACACTTTTTGCACGTAGCACTGATACGCCCTCATGCCGGGACAAATTGATTCAGATTTATCCACACAAGAACAAAAAGTGCATCGCTTTTAGAGCGCATCCTAATCGTCATCCGTGTCATCCGATACTCACAAAAAACTATCCCTAAAATAATCACCGAGTGAGAGCGAATGTTTCAACATCAATATCTTTCAATTCGAAACATATTTCCGAAAAAATCGGGAAAAAAACAATGAGAAAATGACACAGGAAAAGTCAACTTCTTGATCTAGATGACCATATGCCATAACTGTGTTCACACGAGATAAAAATATTGTCCACGCATTCTGAATCCAGAGTGATTTTTATATATATTTTTTATATATATATATATATATTTTTTTTTTAATTATAAACCCCAGCCAGCCTTCAAGTGGTTCTTTTCTTTTTTCTCAATTATTATTTAAATCGAATTAAAAATACACTTCTATAAATTGTCGGGGAAATATTACTAAAATATCGCGACTATGACACTGAGTTCAATTAATTTTAAATGGACGATAGTCAGCTAAAAAAAAACAAATTTTCAATGGTTGAAAAGAAAGTAAACAAATGTTTAATTTGAATCATTTCCGCCACCAGGTAAAAAAAATGAAATATCAACCTTGTTGCTGTAAAATTTTCAGTAAAGTTCAGTTTCAAGTGACCATTCCTAATTGAAGCAGTCCGTGATCTTGATACGACAGAAGTTCAGATCGCAAACGAAGACAACACATATGTTATCTAGAAGCGGTTCTGAAAACAACATAATATAAAAAATAGACTTAATTCTGCGCCACCATCACCGCGCAGATTAGTTTGATAATTTTTCTGTTCTTTAAGCCTCAATCACAAATTCAATACTTGGTTATTTTCAATGTTATCCAGTAATAATTACGCGTGTTACACAAGATTTTAAACCACACAATAAGAGAAATGTGATTAAAACACCGCAAAAATATTTTATTTCTTAAATACGGTGGCCCTTTGTAGGTGAACAATGAGCAAAGTTCGTGGTGAACATTGATGATGCGAATAAGTGAGCATTAACATGTAACATGTTGAGGCTTGCATGCAATAAATAGTTAAAGCCAAATCTCTAATGGCCGTAATTTGTTAATTTGTGTGTAAAAACGAGCGAAATTTTCGAAAAAGTCGAAACCCCGTGTTGTTCAATTATTCTCGGCTGAGTAAAGTTTTACAATTTTGGTCTATGCTAAAATTGGTTTTAAACATTGCAATAATCAGCCAGGAATGAGAAAAGAACCACATTCGAAAATATATTTTGGCGTTATAAATTGCAAAATAAAATAATTGCGACGATTAATGCAAAGACGATAAAAGTTACATTATTAAAACTGTGCCGGATTCAAACAAGTTTTGATTCCACAAAATGAAAACCAAAGTGACTTATCTTAACCGAACACTTGCCTACGCATTACAGCTACCATTGAGTTTCATTTAATTGCCACCAGGCGGGAATTTTGACAAGTAAATTTAGAACAATTGAAAAGATCATTTTCATTTAGCAGCCAACGATTGTCACCCGAAATTTTTAAATGGGTATATCAAAATCTACATTTCCGAGACCATGCAACATTTCATGTCATTAATAAAATTTAAGACAAACCTTTCACTTTTATTTTCGAGACAGTCAAGAGTCAATTCATTGCTGTGAACCCCTCCATCCAAAGTATAGGCAGATCGCCCTATCGATGGTCAGTATCGATATCGATTGTTTCCATATGTACCGTTCACAAAGATCTTGAATAAGGAAATTTCTCTGCCGCTCCTTGCCTAAGCAAACATCTCTGCCGTTGCATTTAACTACCAACTACTACTAACTTCAAAAAGACAATTCACTTCAAATTCTGGACACACTGTACATTGTACAAGGTCGTATCTATTTAACAATGGACTTAATCTCACCAAATGAAATAAATTTTTACATCAAATATTTCAAATTAGCAGGACAAGATTAATAAATTCCTGGAGTAAAACAGTTGACCTCATAAATCGTCTGCCCAAGTCACCGTAAAATTCTCAAATTTGAGACCAAGTCATTATCTGCCGAAATAAATAACTACTTTTAGATGACTGGTGTACCGAAATAACCTTTGATTTAGCGGGAAAAATTCAATGCAGTTATTCGGGAAATGTTAATTTTTGCGCCACAAGTTTGCCAGAACGAAACGTTCAATCGAACAAACGCACGTGATTATTAGGGGCAATTGGCAAATATGACGAAGCGGATGAGAAAAGGTGGGCGTTAGTTGATATACTCTCACAAAAATATCCATATAATAAACAGAAGTAGTAAAAATAAATTTACTCTGACCCTGCCATCAAAAGTGATGATATATGTGCATTTTGTGTTGATTATATCCAACAGGGATTAAAATGTACGAACATTTCTTTTGCATAGAATGATTTCCAGGTCGTTGAGCGTTAACAAACTTCTTTTTTCCGGTTGTTCAAACAATTACTCACTATCTTTAGTCAGCGAAGCGAACTACAGTGAAGCATGTGTAGTATTAAATTGAGGATCTCCAGCAAAAACTATACTGTTGGAACGTTGTCACTGGTTCACGATACTTGAAAGGGATAATATTCAATTTCAATCACAAGACAGGTTTTCAAGCAAACCCAGCGCGCATAAGTAGCCCGGTGTTGAATCATTTTAGGACGATCAATATCAAAAGTTGATTGTTTTATGACAGTCAATAGTCTGGGAACAAAGGTGGAGTCTATTTGGTTGAACACAGACTTTGTATGAACAAAAAAAAACTCGAACTGTGTGAATGTTTATATCCGAGATTAACTGGCACCTCAAAACGAGGCATTATTAATACTTTTTGAACTAAATCCATCTGGCGCTGTCGTGATGGCGGAAAATTTTCGACTCAAACCTAACCTAATCATCACGACTGGAAACTAGCACGAGTGTCTTGGAAGCATTGGAACCTTTGGTCAGGTTCCACAAAATTATTGCCACGTAAACTATCTAATAACGCAATCTCGTGACTACGAATTGCTCGCAAAAAATAAACAGTCGTTATCTGTTAAGAAATACACGACTAAGAAGCAGCGGTTTCTTTTTACGCAATTTTTGCAATAATGAATATCAGTCATTTATGAATAACGACGACAGGTACATCACAAATTGCGTCCCTGTCAGGTGCACAACTAACGTTCAACCGAGATGCTCTTTCCCCCACATTAACTTCGCACTGTCATACTAGGGGAGTAGAAGTTCACGAACACATTATAATTTTGGAATCGTATGCAAGTTATTGTGTTATAGGTCTTATTTCCTTTTCGTAATAAAAAAAGACCGAGGGGAAAGAAAAAACGGATCGTTTTTCTCTCCTCTCGGAACGTCCAGATTCTTTCATTAAACGTCCAGATTACGACAGTGCTTTACGTCAAGTTATTCGTTGAAACTATTCTAGAAATATCGAAGATATACAGCAAAATTTGGGAGACAGTATTTTATTTTTCATTTTTTTAATCGCCAAGAATTGCACTTCTGTACACACGACAGCCGAGAAAACACGAGAAAAAGCTGAATTTCCAAGGCTGCGTTAGACGAGGTTCATAGATTAAATTACAGGTGATCCAAACGCCCATCTTTCTGGCTGAACTATCCATCTTCAAAAACTGTATACATACTTTTCGTAACGGATCATTGTTTCACTGTATTGCAATAGTTTACCAGTTTTTTGAGTTACAGGCCTGACAATATGATAAAAAAAACTTACAGAAAAATGAAAGAACTTTTCGTTGGTAAGAGGATAATGTGTTTAATAACCTTCTCATTTTCAATGAACATCAAATAAAGACCAAGTACAAAAATTTAGGTAATTGACTTTAGGAAAGACGACTGTGCCGTCAACCTGATCACTTACTATACATAGGTTTCACCTATTTGAATTGTATCTCCGGACCTAACAATGGCGAGCTACATCTAGAGCATTACTGGTGATGAGATTTTCTTAGAAACAAACACTCAGTGGGAGCTTATAGCGAAGTTTTCAAAATAAAAAAAAAATAATTCGAAATAAAGGAAAATGTTCGCTAGAACTTTATGTTCCCCCAAAGAGAATATTATTCAAGGGGAAAAATACACAGCGAATAAATCACGAACTTTTCTCAAAAATTTGTCCACAAGACTAAGTCAGGATAAGATTTTTAGATTGAGGCCGAGTTGCGACCAAATCAGGACAGCTAATTTATTCGCTAAATTGCAAGTAAGGATATTCCCTTCAAAAAAATAAGCAGGCACGAGGAAACAACTATAACTCCAAAAAAAACTTCAACGAATGGGAATACATCAAGAAAAAAAATCCTTGGAATCGAAAATCGTCGGAGAATTTCCATGAAAATTAGGCGGCCTACTTTTGTTATCAAATGAACATAATTGAAATGCATCCCAGACTTCTATCTTATTTAGAATAAAGTCTACATTTAGAGTCCCAGTAGATTATCATTATTCGGCCTATCGCCTCTACTGAATAAATCAATGATGATTAACCGAATTTAGAAAAAAAAAACGCGCTTCAATACATCCGACTCCCAAATTTATAAAATAAAGCGTCTAAGACCATACCCAACATAACCAGATAAAAATAAAAATTTCAAGGTAATAATTTTCACATACGTTTTCTTACATCAGAACAGCATTGTTACCACCCAAAATTTGTACCAAATTGCACGAGATAAATTTACCCAGCGGAAAAATGTATCAAATTTTCTTCAAGTCAGTCACTAAGAGGCCGATAATATGAAGTACGTTATAAGAATTTGTACATGAGGCGCACCAGAGCCGACGTTTGGCTGCAGCGAAGACAACGCTCAGCAATAGAGGCAAACAAGAGCCTATTCAGGTCAACACTCTCAAACGTCTTTTTTAACTGTTCCTTTTCCAATTAATAAATTTGAAACGTATTTACGGTTCGCTCATAGTCATTTATTTCTTGGAAGGGGCCAAGTTTAAATAAGAATAAGTATCGGTTTCCCTCAACAGGCTTCAGTTTGCTCCCATGCGCTCAACTTACACTAAATCCTTCGCGTGGAGTGGATAAAAAAAACTGCTGGAGTGACAGAGTTCTCAAGAACTTAATTTTTCGCGAACACTTAAAAGATGGTACTTAGCACGAAAATATCATAAGACCAAGATAATTAATTTTGTCCATGATCAAGACACATTATCTAAAACGTCCAGAGCTCGAAAGCTCTCAATTCAAGCACCAACTATTAAGTTTAAGCCTGATGTCAGTAGAACAATGGTCCCTCCAGCAAGTATGCAATTTAACATAAAAGTGAAGATAAAGTGTACAGAGAACTACTCGGTAGCGGCATTAGCAGCGACAGCAGCCGGGGTGGGTGTGGCAGCAGGTGCAGCAGCTGAAGCAGGAGTGACGGCCTTGGTTTGCTCTGCAGGCTTTAGGGCGGCGTTGGAAGGCGTCTGCTGGTTGTTGCTTGCCGGACTCAAACCTCCCAATGCCGGCCGATTGATACTGGAAGCAAAATACGCTCGTAGAGTGCAAGTAAAAATTAATATTTTCAGTTTAGTGAGAGCCAAAAGTGGTTTTTGTACCACGCATTCTATTGGGAAACAGGAATTTCAAGTGAATTCAATATTCTACCCTTTTGCCATCAAATTTCGCCAAGTGGCAAAATTTTGTAGTGTTAAACACAAATGCTTTTCTAACTTGATTAGCGGATTTTTAAAAGAGGTATACTTGGATAAGTTAGTTTTGCAACAGAAATATGAAGAAGCCTTTTCCTAGCATTTCTTTGAATAGCAGGAAAAAGCATTATTTCTAACATCTAACCGAACATTTATGTAGCAAAGGTAAGGTTATACTTCTTCTTATGCCACAATAAGGCCATGCTACTGTAATATATTATAATAAAAAATATTAGTAAAACCATCATCGAATAGTGTCTAATTGAGAACGGATTCATCAAGCTGAATCTCGGCTTCATCGAACTAAAGCTTCAAGCTGAAAATTTAATTTTGCTGATCTACTAAGAAATACGAGTTGAAAATCAGAGCGAGATCCAATTTTACCTGTTTGGAGAGTCGGCGGGTCTAACTGGCGACTGCCCACAGGAATTGTTGACAGGCTTGGCTGGAGAACTGACAGGTGAGTTACCAGATGCAGGTTTGGCCGGAGATGCTGAGATTGGCTTAGAAGGACTCTGGCTGTTGCTGACGGGAGCCTTGGCAGAAGATGTGTTCGTTTGAGCAGCAGTAGGAGCGGCGGGAGCTTTTGCAGGTGATGATTGATTCTCACTTGAGGCTGCGGCTGTTTTGGTGGGCGAAGAAGCAGCCTCTGCTGCAGAGGGCTTGGAGGACTCAGCAGCTTTTGCGGGAGATGCATTGGATTTGGAAGTATCTGTCGCTTTGGCTGGGGAAGCCGCAGGTGATGCAACTTTAGCAGGTGATGCAGCAGGAGATGCAACTTTGACAGAGGATGTTGATTTTACAGGACTTTTTTGTTCTTCTTTCTTATTTTCTCCGTCTTTCTTATTATCTTCATCTTTTTTATTATCACCCTCCTTTTTATTATCTTCGCCTTTCTTACTGTCTCCATCATTCTTTGCACTTTTATCATTGGAGTCATCACCATCTACTTTGTCATCAGATTTCTCTTCTTCTGTTTCCATCTTCTCTTCCGCGTCATTGCTGACCTTCTCTTCACTCTTCTCAGGGGTAACTTCATCCCCAGTTTCGTCCTCAGTGCTCTCATCTGCTTTCTTATTTTTGGGTGTTCTTCCTCTACGACCTACATTAAAAATAATCAATACATGAAAAAACCTTCAACAAACCATTGCATAAATGTTTCGTAACAAGGAAAAAACTTCAAAATAATAGAAGATACTGAACATCTTTTTGAGTTTTTGCATAACAGAGTATCTATGTTTGACACGGATTCCTAGGCTACTTGTGAACAAATTTGCTGGCTGCATTTAGACTTCAGCATTTGACTTTTTTGTCTTCGTCGGGCAATGAAGAGAGTTATTATAAATTTGGTCTTGAAGACTAGGAAGCCGACAGTTTAAGGAGATGATATAGCAATGAGTTAACCATGGGTTTGGCTTTAAAACCCCGAAAAACCCTTATTCTACGGTTTTCAAACCATGGGTTTGGCTTTAAAACCCCAAAAAACCCTTATTCTATGGTTTTCAATTAATGTTGACACCAAGAAAAAAAATTTTAAATGCACATATTGTTGGCATAGTTATGTGAAAATTGTTCTCTGAAATATTTATCAATATAAAATTTTTATTAATCTTTGCTAGTCTGGTAATCGTAATTAAATAGCTTGAAAAAAAAAATACAAAATGTCTCAATTGTGAATGGATCTATGGGTAACCCAATTATTGAGAGAACCTCATGGGAATTAGGACACATAGTCTGAGGCACAGCTCTTGGGTGGACTATTAGGAAATAAAAAGGTTGCCTGTTTACAAGCAAGTATCTGATCTGAACTAAGAAGTGCCAAGAAAAAATAACTATAAGCCATTCAATATGAATAAAGAGAGATGAACGATTTGTACAATTAATGAATATAGGTAATGAATGGCTAATAATCAAATAGTTATCAATCAGAAAGTGAATCCATCATAATTATAATCAACAATCAAAAGTAAGGGTAGGTACTTATTTTGCATGGAGACATGGAAGGAAATATTTTTTTTAATAACTTAAAATGAGTTAATCAAAACTTTGGAACCAGAATACATTAATATTATAAATTCATGTATAGTAATAATTGTTTTTGAATTTGAAACAAAATATTTTAGGTAAATAAAATATTTTATACTAAGAAAGGCACCCATTTAATTTTGAGCTTTGATCACAAAATAATTTTGAGCTTTGATCATGGAATAATTTTGAGCTCTGATCCTAAAATAATTTTTAGCTCTAATCACAAAATAATTTTTAGCTCTTGTCACAAAATAATTTTTAGCTCGTCACAAAATAATTTTGAGCTCTTATCACAAAATAATTTTGAGCTCTTGTCACAAAATAATTTTTAGCTCTTGTCACAAAATAATTTTGAGCTCTTATCACAAAATAATTTTGAGCTCTTGTCACAAAATAATTTTTAGCTCTTGTCACAAAATAATTTTGAGCTCTTATCACAAAATAATTTTGAGCTCTTGTCACAAAATAATTTTTAGCTCTTGTCACAAAATAATTTTTAGCTCTTATCACAAAATAATTTAGTGTTGATGACAAACCTGCAGCAGCTCCTCGCTGCCTCTTGGGTGGGGGAGGGGTGTAGACAATTCCTTTAGCAGCAGCTCGGGTGCGTCGTCGTGAGCCTCCTTCTTCCTCCACAGAGCTGTTGTCCAGACCCACCTCCTTCATCAGTGCTTCAGCCTCACTTGAAGCTCTGCACATAACAAGTGCTTTCAATTTAAACTGCAGTAAAATAAACGTGAGAACTGCAGTAAAATAACTGTGAGAACAATTCAACAAAAGCAGATAGTATAACACATACATAATGAAGCAATGGGTCACTTAGAAAGAAAAAACAAGCATTGAAAATATGATGACATATTTAGTGGTAGATGTTTTTTTGAATCATTTTATCCACTTTAAATTTCAAAAATACACAAAACCATCACACTAGCCAATGTTTTATGAATAAATACAACTGCAATGTATACATTTATATATCTAAACCATGATTTAACTTGTGGTCCTTCAAATCTTCCAGGATAGTCTTGGCTCCTGCATTAAAGCTGATATATATTCCTGTTTTAAATATGAAATATATTCCTGTCTTAAATATGAAATATATTCCTACCTTAAAACTGACATGTGTCTATGTCATAAATATGATATACCTATTGTCCTATCTTCAAACTTCTAATAAAACTAATGTGTACGCACCTGCCTCTCTTCTTGCGGCCCTTGGGAGTGGTTGGAGTGCCCTCAGATGATGTGTCCATTTTCTGTGTGATTAAAATTCATCATAAGATTGCATTACGAGACTTAAAGCAATTAAAATTGCATACAAATTAAAAATGCAAAAGAAAACAATGCAGCCAAATGGAGTATAGATGAAATTATCTAAAGAAAACCTTTTCCAGTTTCCTCTTAAACATGATGAAGAACACAGCACAAAAAATAATAAACACATTTCAAAATAACAAGTAATAGATATTCCAAACAAGATTGCATTAGGCTTAATAAAAAACAATATAATTGCATGAAGCCAATAAAATAATAAAAATTATCCATTGTCCATATAATTAACAGTAAATAGTGCTCTGACTCATTCAATAAGATTGACAGACTTTCTCAAAAAAAGCTTCAAACACACTCAACTTTAGTTTTTTTTAGTTTTTTAACAAACCCCCCCACTTTTAGTTTTTAACAAAAACCCCCAAAACTCAAAAACTATTTGACATAGAAAAATTTTGTCAATGGGCGTTAAAGGCCTGATACTGAGGCTATGTAACACAATAGAAATATAAGAAAATTATGCATATCTACTAGGTTAAAAAATGAAAAATGTGACCCACAAAAAAGAGCTATTATTTAAAGCCTGTCATAGAACCTCCTCCAATTTTTTCATTTTTTGGTAAAATAACTCCAGGTTTTGGTGCATTGTAGTAGAACTCTTCTAGTTAACTAAAAACTTAAAAGCAAAGAAAACTCCACTAAAATAGTTCTACTACAATGCACCAAAACCTGGAGTTATTTGGAGTTATTTTACCAAAAAATATAATTGATTTTACCACCCAGTCTAAGATACCCCAAGAGCTGGGGTAACAAAGACCATCACTTTTTTTGAAGTTACATCAAAACTATGAGAGACAAGAGCCAGCAATTTATGGTGAGTGAACCTAGAGTATAGACCTGTATTTTGCATGTTTCAATTCAAGCTTAATTTAGCTAGTAAAAAATGGCATCATTTATAAAAAAAAGTGGTCTATGTTACCCCATTTTACGGTACATGTATTTATTAGGACCTAACGATAATGTTTTCCTCATGAAAATTGTTTGAATTTTGCCATCGTTTGTTTTTGCCATATTTATATGACAATATGGGCTGAAATTCACAGTGATCAAGTAATTTCTTCCAAGCAACTGAACAGATTCAAACGAAATTTTGAATTTACAGTCCTAACTACCGAACGGTGATGTTTAGCGTGAAAATTTTTTCAATTGTGCCTTTGTGCGCAAGTTTTTTTTTTTTATTTTACCTTCAATCATGATTTAAACAGCAATACGTGCCTAAATTCGCAGTAATCTAGAAATTTTTTCCAACTACTCAACAGATTTAAACGAAACTTAGTATTTAAATACCTAACCTCAGCAACAGTGATGTTTACAATTCTTTCATTTTGCCTTTGTTTGCCAGTCATATGGCTATATACTCTTGGTTTAACCGGCCAGTAGAAAAGCTGGTTGTTCCTCCTAAGCTCCTCTATCTGTATAACTCGCGAACGAAAGCAAAATAGAAAAATTGTCACAAGCTAAACATCACCGTTGAGAGGTTATGTTTTTATATACAAAGTTTTGTTGAAATCAGTTCTGTAGTTTAGAAGAAATTTCTTGATCGCTGCGAATTTAAGTGACAAATTACCCGGCGATACGGGCCAAATATAAGGAAGTGTGGAATAAAGAACGACGGTGAAATTTTAAAAAACTCACAAATGAAGGTAAAATAAAAAAAAATTATAAGCTTAAAAATCACCGTTTGGTAGTTAGGAATGTATATTCTAAATTTAGTTCAAATCTGTTAAATAGGGTAAACGCAGTATATTCTGACGTCATTAGCAATTCTGACACTTCTCGACTTTATTTAAGCTTTTTCTTAGTTCCATGCATTTGTTGATTGAAATAGTGACGTCATACTTTTGCGCACCATACTATTGCCAAAACACTAGGTCTGGGCCGTCTGGCAGGAAAATGTTGGTATCCAAAGAGAAACAGTGCGCGTCACCCGACAAGAACATCAAAAAATGTGTCAAAGTTGATAGTTGACCCTGCTCTACCAAATAGTAATAAACTGTTTGTGTAGAAAGAATATTATGGTTTGAGACTTTTAAATGTCTGTGAATATCCTTCAGGTATACTTGTACTTGCTGATTTCAAGTGGTAAAAAAATTAATGGATGATTAAGTTAAGAGAGGATTTTAGACACACAAAAACTAATTCCAACACAGCTTGAAATTAGACACACACAGCTTGTTCCAAGCTGTGTGCAAAAATTAAAATTTTCTCAACTAAAAGCTTAATAGCTCTTAATTAAAAGCCCAATTAAGTAGTGTTCAATATTCAATAGTGTTCAAATTCCAAGCTGTGTCATATTCCAATACAGCTCACCCACCGATCGGAATTCAAACACAGGAGTGTCAGTATTATGAATTAGTAGTTTGAAGCGCAGCCAGCATTAGTTTCACAAATTGCCAAATTTAGTCACACTGACTCACACACAGTGTCGGAATATATGGATTTGGTAGGTTTGCATTCTAAAGGCTTTTAAATAAATATGGCAACATTTTGTGATGTTTCATTGTTTCTGGCATGTAGTGCAGTGTTTTGAGAGTGATGTAAAGCAAACAGAACTCAAGTTGCGCGTACGGTGTATTTTTATAGCCATTCATTTTTTGCTACTTCCTCAAAGTGTTGGAATATACCGCGTTTACCCTAGTTTGGACAAATTCTTTCATCACTGTGAATTTTGGCCTGTTTTGCAATATATGCGTAACTCACGAATGAATGGGAAATTAAAAAAAATACAAGCTAAACATCAGTGATTTACATCAGTACATCACCATTAAGTTCTGATGAATACGTGTTCAGTTTCATAGACCTGCATTCTTTAGTTTGGGACCACTATGCAGAGGGTGGATGCAGCGTCGCCAATATATGGATTTTCAAGCCCAAAGCGTCGCCGGCCATTTTAAAGATGCGTTGCCAGGTAATTTTTAATGAAAAGCCATTTACGCTGAGTAATGACGAACTATTTACAAGCCACGAACTTAGTTACAAGGTTGCATGCACATGTTACCCCAAATAACTAATTTTACCCTAAAAACAGTCCGATTGTACAGCAAGTGTCAACTGAACATGTAATAAAGCAGTCTGACTGTCTGACCGCTCTAATGTGACCGAAACTACGCAATCGAAAAAACGTTGTTTACATTTTATGCGGGAACGCATCGCAACTGGTTTCCGGACAAGCTTCGCTGCATCGTATTCCATCCAACGCACCGGAAACCTTACTTTTTTTCTAAATAGTTGGCCAAAGACTGAGAAATATGTTAAATGCAAGAATTTCAATCTAAATGTGTCGGCAAGATCTTCTGAAGGCGAAAATTTGGCTACTGAAGTGTCGCCAAAGATCTTGCAATATTCATCCACTCTCTGCACAGTGGGTTTGGGAGATATTACTTGATAATTAAAATTGGAAATTGGTTGTGAGACCGGCCATATATTTGCCAGCAACGTCCTAGGTTTCTAGAGCCGAAACAGTTAAAACGGCTGAAAAACATTGGTTAACTAAATGAGGATCTATTTGTGAAACACACATTTGTGTTTAACCTTTATCTTTCAAATTGCAGCATACTAAATTTCAAGAAAGAGGCGTATGTCTGTGGGGGGCGCTAGAAATTCACTAGGGAGCCAAAGGGGGCGCCAGCCTGAAAAAGTTTGGGAACCACTGAGTCACTGACAGTACTGACTTAGAGGCTTACTAAGGTCACACTCAACCATGAACCAATAAGAACCATCCACAATAAATCCATGATCTCAGACAATATGGTCCACCTAAAACAATTCTAGTATTTTACAGACATAAGTAGGCATAGTAATAGAAGCAACCTAAACAATCATATCCATGTTATTGCATCGTTCACCTAAAACTGCTGTGAAAAATAGCCGACAACGCTAAATGTGGGGACAATTTTTTCACTTGAACTGTAATGAATGGCGTTGAATGTGAATGTTGATTAAAACACGAGCGAGATATTTCACTCCTTTTAATTCCGGAAAATTTTAAAAATCTGTTAAAAGCACCATACTTCTATACTGTCTGACAGAGTCAGAGACTATCTTGAAGTAAATCCGCTCTTATTTACTCAAACGGCGAGTTCTCAAAGCAGGAGTGCCAATTTTTGGCGTTCAACGTGTTAGAGAATCGGAAGGGTTGACAAACCTGAAAAGATCGACCAAGCATCCAACGGAATTACGTAGATATGCGGTCATTTGCAAATACACTCAACTGATTAGCATAACTAACCGTGCCCCGTGTTATGATTATTTATAGATAAAAGCGTATATATAATAAAATAAGGTTGTTGCTGCTATTCTATATACAACTTGGCAACAACGAATACAAGATACGATGCATCGTACGTCAGGCAGGCAGTAAGGGTGCTAGCGCGCGAATTTAAAGAACACGCGTATAATTTCAAATAAACAGCACAGCATTAATTGCATAAAATCAAGATTTGTAGCTAATTTATATCTTCAAGAAGTCATTTAAACAAAAATTTTAATACAAAATTGCTCAATTCTCTGCAAATCACAAGGGAACAACAGTGAATCAATGTAACCTTTAGTTGCACTACCAACGCCATTTTGATGAACGTTGCAGAAAACGCTAGTAGATCGTTAGAAAATGGTTTTTATGGTGTACATAAATCAAAAATTCACTTTCATTAGCTAAAAGAATCAAATTTATATTCTAATCGAATCTTAAAAATAACATAGTATTGACATGAGTCAACTTTGAGTTTGAAGGTTGAAACACTTGCGACGTACGAAGGAACACACAAATACACGAGAATGCCGGTATTCGTTGCTTATTTTTCAAACTGCGCAAATTACCTGCGGTGATTCTTCAACACTATTCTCTAAAGCACTGCTAGCACCATTTTCAGCCATTATACTTCAAAAATACCAATTTGAATCACAAAATTTCGACCCGATTCAGAAGAAGCGGCGTCCTTGCGTCGGAATGGAGTTTGGATGGCGGGAGCCGCTTTTACCCAAACTCTGAAAAGACAAAATAAAATTAAACATGGACCATTCACGGTATAGTATTGGTTATCGGAAAATATTAGATTAAGAGAAGAAAATACTTAAATAAGAGAGAATAAATAATGATTTTCATGTTAAAACTGATTTTTTACTGAGATAAATAACACTTCCAGTGCAATCCTGTTTCAACTTCATCTATGAACAGTCCCCTTTTCCCTATCCTTCCTCCCCCTTTTACGAAATCCTCCCACTCTAACTACTTCTCACTATGGCGTACATCGTATACGGTCAAGTAAGGTGTGCGAATAGTCGACCCCTGACTTCAGTTTCCACAAATGATGGGCAGTAATATGATTAATGAAAATGTAATAATACTTTGTAGGCCAAGATTCATCTCAAATTTTATTACATCAAACATTTCCTATAGGTAATAGATGGATGAAGACATGGAGAAATATATATTTAGACTTAAAATGCCTAGCACCATATCGAACCCGGCGCAAGTCTAGTACATATTTCTAACTATCGACAGTTTGGAAAAGATCAGGTAGAATGGCCTGTTTGTAGATCTCATATGTACAAGTTGCGAAAAGTACAGCAGGAATCGGCGACAGCCCACATCAGGTTTATTCTTCAGCGCCGACTTCACTATTAGCTATGCAGTGCTACATTCATTGAATATCAGATTGGACATATTTAATTTCAATTACGTTTATTTTTATATAAACTTGGATCGATAACGTTGTTACTCACACAACTGATACAACTGCCTACCTTATAAATTACACTATAGAAATTACACCTCAGAAACTTGTGCGGCCGGTCTCCAATTTTGCGTGAGCCTGAAAAATCTCGAAAACTGGAGGACGCAGCTCAATGAAACATCGCATACCAGTTAAATAGAACCTAGTGGTGATGTATAGGTCGTGGCCATTCTTTCCGATATCGCATTCTTTTTATCATATATACGGCAATGCAATACGTGCCAAAATTCGTCACAAGTCTAATATCTACGCTCCTAAAGTACATATTTAAACGAAGCTGTGCATATTCATTCCTACCCAGCTAACATATATGTCATCAAACTTTTTTCGATTTCGCCTTCGTTCGCGAGTTATATGGTTATACGGAGAAACGACCGGCATTTCTGTACCGAATCGACACTTCTCCATTCTCCAAACTCGCCCACGGACTCAAACGCGAAACCTAACTTTATGCTCAATCTAAAAACTCATAAGTCCTTCAATACTGGACTGATTACCTTAAATTTTGGAGTATAAGTAAGTATTATCATTACGCCGCGGCAGGAATTATTAAAGATTTTTACATTACATCGTTTTAAATTAAAATAAAAAACGCATTTTTGAAGTTACCTAACAACTCATAAGGTCTATAATGCTGAACCGATTTGCTTGAATTTTGGAATATTAGTAAATATAATCAGTACACTGCGGTAGGAACTATTCCACATTCTTACACTGCTTCGTTTTAAATTAATCTGAAATAACGCATTTTAAAGCAACTTAACAACTCATAGGTCATTGAAGGATTTACGAGTTGTTAGGTTTCTTAAAAACGCGTTTTTTCGTTTCAATTGAAAACGAAGTATTGTAAAGCCTGTAATAATTCCTACCGCAGCGTATTGATTATATCTACTTAAATTCTGAAATTCGAGCAAATCCGTTCGGTATTGAAGGACTTATGCGTTGTTAAGCTGAGCGTAAAGTTAGGTTTTACCGCAGGCGGGTTCAAAGTGTCGATTCGGTGAATTACCGAATGCATTCTGCAGCTTATAATAATAGCGGTTTCAGCGTTTATTAGGCCTGTTGCAGATTCTTAACAGCGCAGAACATTCACAGCATTTGCGGTCTCGAACTCGCAACTCGCTGCTGTAATTCTGCTGTGCTTAATTAACCGCCCGGCCTCCTCGCCGATTCTGACCAGAAACTGGCGGCTGGCGCACAGAGCTGGGATGGAACCAGCGCCTCTGAGCGTCAATCTTGGTACTCTGAACTGTGAACACTGGGCCACCCTGCCCCATGACCCATGTTCAATTATTTTTGAGGTCCACTTTTACAGAGCATTTAATTCTGCATGTCCTGACGGAGGATGGTCCAAGACGATGTTACATGTGAGATTTCAATAGTTTGCATTTATTTAATTTGTGGAGTTCATATATATATGTTATATAATTTGGTAGTTCAATGATTTATTTGTGAGCTCTAAATTTTCCAGTGCAAGCGTTTAAATGGCGTTTTCATAGCCAGTTATTCGACAGGAGCTCTTCTTTTTAATCGAAATAGATTTTCACAATGACGAAAATTGAACATTAAAAGCGTCGATAATTAATTCGATGGTGAACTTTGGTGGAGCTTAATTTGAGTAAAATCGGGAAATAATTATTATAAAACAGTTTTCTGTCTCTGACGACTGACTAATTACTATACTGAGATCTTTTGGCGAGTTCGCAGGCGGGTCCGGGGAAGTGTCGATTCAGTAGGAGAGAGTTTAACTTGTTGCGAACACCGGTATTACTAACTGGGATCGGATTTAACTCGTCTCTAAAAATATGTTTGTTTCAACATACATGAACTTTGAAGCCTCTAAAATCTAAACTCATGAGTCGTTGTAATGTTTTCCCTCACTGCCTATATAATTATATGACAATCGTGTATGCTTATATATCCATCAGGTAACTTTAGAACACGTAGGCTATACTAAAAAGTTACATTATAAATCTTATGTTATTTTTACCTTTTTTAATAAGTTTGAAGATTTTATTGGAAGGTTTTACTGTGTTCCTGGATTCAGTCCAAGAGTATGCCTTTTTTGTTGTATTATCTGTCCTTTAAGTCGTGCCTACAAAGTAGTCCTCAAGGTGCGGAAGTGCTAGAAACTTCGAAACTTATTGAGAACCGATTCAGATTTCAGTCCTACTTTTGGCATTGCGATTCTTGAAGCGTGTAAGCTAAGTTATCGTGCGAACTGTCTGCGCTTATTTTGAAAATAAAAATCAGCCCCAATTTTAACATTTTGCAATGGCAGCCACCAGACGACTGCAGAAAGTAAGATTTTCTGATTAGTCACTCGGTGATATGGTGCAATAATAACTTCTCAACCATAACTTATTTACGCTGCAAATTAAGAATGTGACATCTCACTGAACCTCAGCAGGGGCTGCGGGGCCAAACTTTAGAGGGAAAATTATTGTTAAATATATGAATGACAATCCATGGCTTGATCATGTTGATGGCAATCATGTTAGCCCATATTAGTTCAAATTCAACTTCAAAACTTCAAGCGTTCAACCTTTAATGCATAGTGGCGAACCAGAAATTTTTTTAGAATCAGTTCATTTTTAATTGTCTCATTTACTCAATATTTAAGCCAATATCTTATGTATGATGATGCAGGTATCCATGATACTTTTCTGGGCTTGGTACTTATAGGACTTAAAATTGAACTTGAAGGACCTTGAACTCGGACCTTTCCTTTGACCTCTAAGTCCAAGTCCTTTATTAGTATTAGGTATTAAAATAAAAGGCAGCCCACGGCCCACGCCCCATGCAACCAGAACTTTCTCTTCCCAGTTCCCAAACAGACTAATTTAGTAATTTTTTTATAACTTCATATCTGCAAGGCTGCAACTCAGGCTGCAACAAAATAGGGCTTTAGCATAGAATAAAAGATTTTGAAGAAATATCTGTCTTCAGTCTTTCCACAATCTACACTCCACAGAATAATTTATGTATTTATTATTAATAGGGAAGTTCTAATTTCCAACCCTACCAAGTGCAAAGTGCCAACTTAGTAGGGTAAACGCGGTATATTCCGACATCGTAGGTAATTCCGTCACTTCTCTAGTTTTTCCGGTATTATTGCAGATTAACTACATCCAAAAAAAAGGGTGTTTTTTTTTTGAATTATATGTTTTTTGGGGTGTAGATTACGAATCTGAAATCCATTTTTGGCGGTCGGCATCGGAAAACCGATTTTTTTCCGACCCAAAAATCGCGCTAAAAATGCCTAACCCGTTGCACTGCAATGGGTAAAGAAGACGAAAATGTTACCCGTTGCACTGCAATGGGTAACATTTTCGTCTTCTTTGTCCATAAATCTGGAGATACATTGCCACATCGAGAGATCACAACCTAACGCCAACTCGCAGGTTGGGTTGGTTCGCCCAGGTTCCTTTTTGATCAAAATGCTATCTAAAAAAAGGAACTTGGCTGACTTAACCCAACCTAAGAGCTTTTTGTAAAATTTCGATGAACAATCCGACCCTTTATATAAAGGTGAGTGGGTAACGTAAGTTACGTAACCCCCATATCCATCCAACGTACCGGAAACCTTACTTTTTTTTCTAAATAGTTGGCTGAAGACTGAGAAATATATTAAATGCAAGAATTTTAATCTAAATGTGTCGGCAAGATCTTGTGAAGGCGAAAATTTTGCCAATAATGCGTCGCCGTAGGTCTTTAAATCTTCGTTCACTCTCTGCACAGTGGCCACCTGGTGAGATCATTGAAAAATGTGTCAAATTTGACAGTTGACCTTGCTCTACCAAATAGTGAATAACTGTTTTTATAGGAAGAATATTATGGTTTGAGACTTTTAAATACGTCTGTGAATATATTAGGAATCCTTTAAGTAAACTTGTATTTGCTGATTTCAAGTCATAAATAAATTAATAGATGATTAAGTTGAGTGATGGATTTAGACCCATCAAAACTAATTCCGACACAACTTGAATTGGACACACACAGATCGTTCCAACTTCCAAGCTTTGTACAAAAATTGAAATATGCTTAATTAAAAGCCTAATAGCTGTTAATTAAAACGTAATTAAGTAGTGTTCAATATTCGTTAGTGTTCTAATTCAAAGCCGTGTTGTATTCCAATCATAGTGGCAAAGCAGAAAGTTTTTTAGACTCTCCCTCAAGTTCATTTTTGAGTCCTATGAGTAGACAAGCAATTTGAAGCAAAGTATCATGGATACCAGCATTATCATATATAAGAAATTGGTTTAAATCTTGAGTAAATGAGGAAATTAAAAATGAACTGATTCTAAAAAATCTCTGGTTTGTCACTATGATTCCAATACAGCTCACACAGCAAACGGAATTCGAATATGTTGATGTCGGCATTACGTATCAGTTAAATTTGAAGCGCTGACGCAATACGACTCACCACGTGTCGAATATTGCCACACACAGTGACGGAATATAGGGATTTGGTAGGTTTCCATTCTAAAGGCTTTTTAATAAATATGGCAACATTTTGTGATGTTTCATCGTTGCTGACGCGTAGTGAAGCGTTTTGAGAGTCACGTGAAGGCAACAGAACTTACGTAACGCATACAGTTTTCTTTTTATAGTTTTTTATTTCTCAATGCGTCCTTAATGTGTCGGAATATACCGCGTTTACCCTAGGCTAGTTAGTGCCAAGAGCCAAGCATTAAAGCTGTGATTTAGTACTTTCCAAGTTGTATAATCACCATGGTCAGGAAGATGTGCCAGGTGCACGGGAATTTATATTGTCATTTTAACGACCTGCGTGGTGCACTGTACTATGCCGGGAAAAAAATGCGCTGTGCGCCATACGTTTAGAAAGCTAAAATAATTTAAATATGGACGCGATGCGCGGCAATGCAAATTACGTAATCACACTGACCAACGACCGTACACACAAACGTGTATCCGCATTGTGTTGTGGTTGGATACGAGTTAACTAGATTGCTAACGCGTCAACTCAGGACTCGGGTTCTAAGAGTCAGCACAGTAATGAATATTCATTCATAGATCACAATTCAATCAGACATGAATTACAGAACTAAAGAAGGCAACATGGCTTTAGATGTGCCATTGGTGCCTTCTAATGAATGACTGGACTGGTTGCGGCAAGTAGAGTATGAACCTGTTTGTCAAGAGTACGATCCTGCATGCTAATGTTGGGACTTGGGAAGTTGAGACTACATTACTGACGTCCTCCCGGCCTGCAAAATCGCCACGATCAATACCTAATAACAATGCGCGTAAATGGACTATACAAATTAGGTCAATATGGCATAATTACAGAGCGTAATTATGCTATGTTATACAATATGAATATATATATTTGCAAGATAAGTCAATGGTCTGTCGTTTATTTTTGCCTCATTTGAGCAATTATGGTTTCCAAATCTGGGTGCGTTATGTTATGTCATGCGTACCATAAAATGGGGTAACTTAGACCACTTTTTTTCATAAATGATGCCATTTTTTTACTAGCTAAATTAAACATGAATTGAAACATGCAAAATACAGGTCTATACTCTAGCTTCACTCACCATAAATTGCTGGCTCCTGCCTCTCATAGTCTTTATGTAATTTCAAAAAAAGTGATGGTCTTTGTTACCCCAGCTCTTGGGGTATCTTAGACTGGGCAGTAAAATCAATTATATTTTTTAGTAAAATAACTCCTGGTTATGGTGCATTGTAGTAGAACTCTTCTAGTTACATATGCAAATAACAAACTTGAGGAAAGTGTCATAGTTTGCAAATGAGGGGCGCCGCCCCATAATGAGAGAAATGTGACTACCTAATGGTAGCCCAGATGAGGTAATATTGACTGGCTTGGAAATTAAGTTAAAATTACCATATATTAGACTCTGTAGAGTCTGAAACATAAAGAAAAAACATAAATAGGCTGTCAAACATAAAATATGTTACATATGGTAATTTTATCAACTTCCAAGCCGGTCTATGTTACCCCGTCAGGGCTGATATTAAGTGGTCTAAATTCCCCCATTTGGGGGCGGTGCCCCCCATTTGCAAACTATGACACTTTCCTAAAATTTGTCATTTGCATATGTAACTAGAAGAGTTCTACTACAATGCATCAAAACCTGGAGTTATTTAGCCAAAAAAATAAAAAAATTGGAGGGGGTACTCTGCCAGGCTTTAAATAATAGCTCTTTTTTGTGGGTCACATTTTTAATTTTTTAACCTATTAGATATGCAAACTTTTTAAATCTTTCTATTGTGTTATGTAGCCTCAGTATTAGGCCTTTAATGCCCATTGACAAAATTTTTCTATGTCAAATAGTTTTTGAGTTTTGGGGGTTTTTTGTTAAAAAAACAAAAAGTGGTCTAAGTTACCCCACCGGTCTAAGTTACCCAATTTTACGGTACTAATTTTTAGATATTTTGAGCTAAATTGATCATATCACTGATACAGTAAAGAAATTAGGGAGTATCACAGGTACCGTCAAACGGGGTAGGGTAAACACGGTATATTCCGACATCGTGGGTAATTCCGACACTTCTCAACTTTTTTCCTTTATATTAAGCTTTGTCTTAGTTCCACGCATTCGTTGATGGTTGAAATAGTGACGTCATACTATTGTGCACCATACTATTGCCAAAACACTAGGTCTGGGCTGTCTTGTGGGAAAATGTTAAGATCCAAAGAGAGACAGTGCACATCACCAAGTGAGAACATAGAAAAATGTGGCAAGTTGATAGTTGACCTGTCACCTTGCTCTACCAAATAGTGATAAACTGTTTGTGTAAAGAGAATAATATGGTTTGAGACTTTTAAATAAGTCTGTAAATATATTAGGAATCTTTTAAGTATACCTACTTGTATTTGCTGATTTCTAGTGGTAAATAAATTAATAGATTATTAAGTTAAGCGATGGTTTTAGACACATAAAAACTATGGTAATTCCAGCACAGCTTGGAATTAGACACACACAGCTCATTCTGAGCTGTGTCCAAAAATTAAAATTTTCTTAATTAAAAGCTTAATAGCTCTTAATTAAAAGCTTAAATGAATAAATTAACATTTTTTGATTAAGCTTGTTCTGAGCTGTGTCGTATTCTGATACAGCTTACACAGGGCGTTATTGAATTTTGGAACAATTAAAAATCAAAGAACAAAGAAAGTGTTGAAACTTTTATTGTGGTTCCGCAAAGAGAATTGGTTCGCAGAACGAAGCCAGAAGGAAACGGGAAGCACGAAGCGCAACGAGGAACTCGTGCACTGTAGAATACGTACGCACATATAAGTACAAGTTCGAACG